CAAAGCTGAATTTTCAGCATCATTACTCCAGTCTTCGGTGTCACATGATCCTTCAGAAATCATTTAATATGCATATTTGCTGCTCAAGAAACATTTCTTAGTATTATCAATGTTGAAAACAGCCGTGCTGCGCAATATTATTGTGAAAACCAATTCTTTTCAGGTTTTTTGATGAATAGAAAGTTAAAGCTGCAGTCCGTAAGTTTTGCCTCTTTGCCGCCATCTCTGTTTGAAACTTGCAATTGCAGTTACTTGCGGAATTATTTTCATTGTGTGGGTTGTGCGCCGGTGCGGCTCCAGCGCGGATGAATCTAATGTTTTGAGTATGTGTGGCAGTCAGTCACCGCACTGGTGTGAATCCTATACTTAGTAATCACAGATTCTAGCCTACGTCTTGGAATATATGACCCAAATAAGAATTTTCACCGGATATTGTCATCTGAACAAGTAAGTAACAAGTCTGCCACGTTTGTTCTGACCAACTGAGGAAAAAAGCATTACAATAAATCGTGCTACCAATGGTGATTTAATCTAACGATCGATTAGCTCATATCACATCAAACCGTGCAAATTATTATTATTGTTATATTTTATTCTCAGATTATTAAAGTTAACAACATCAGCATTGCCTGACTATGAGTATAGTGTGTATTAGCGTGTAGATTTCAATTTCTGTACAGTCGAATCTCTAATTGTCATACCATTCGAATTTCATACCAAGAAATTCTTTTAACCCAAAAAGCAAACTATGCTCCCTTCGAACTGGTTGTCTTTAAAATACAAATCTTGTGTAATCCCACGTATGCTATCTGTAATCAGATGCACATTTAAAACTGAAATAATTTAAGTCACATGTGTTTCATAAACACATAATCCTTTCTGGATTACAATCCGCCATCAAAATGATTTTTTGACATTTAATTATTCCAGCTGCTGTGAGAAAAGGCTACAAACGATCCTTCACCTGTAGCATCCTCACATGCGATAGCCTAGTAGCCGGGACAACTTCTTTATGTTTACAGACGTGACGTAATGCAAGTAAGGCAGCATGCTTGAATTTCCCACGAAAACCTACCCGTACCACTCAAATTAGAAAAAGTTATTATAAACTAACCGTTGTGAATCGGGCTAAAGTAAGGTGATAGTTTTGAACACTGGCTGGTTTTGTACTTGCTCAAATATTGATTTTGGATCATTTTTAACCAAAAAAAAGTTACGGACTGCAGCTTTAAAAAAAACTGCATTTATTTGAAATTCTTAGAATCTTACAAATGTCCCTTTTAATCAGTTTAACACATCCATGCTGAATTAAAAAAATAATGATAATGAATAAATAAATAATAAATCTTACTGAACTGTATATCTAGCAGTGTTGATGCAAACAGTGGTCTTACCATAGCATTTCACCAAATGTGAAAAGATATTCTCCTTCTCCGTGAAGTCAGGAATCAGCTCAGACAGAGCCTTGATTTTGGCAGCCTGTACAGGAATGAAAATAGAGTGTCTTTATTCACAAACTGTGTGACTATATTGCATATAAACTGTACATACACTTAATGAAAGTTCAGAGCATGAAGACTAGAACAAACTGGGTTTGTTTACCTGTCCCGGCTGCTGAGCCGCTCGCAACATGTATGTGAACATTGTGTCCTTCTGCTCATTGACAGCCGCACAGCGCTAAAGCAATCAAAGAAGCACAAGAGAACTCTAAACACAAACATTTACCCTGTATCATAACGTGTGTGTGTGTGTGTTCACATGCACACAGCATATGCCCTTGAGCAAAACATAACCCCTTGCTATAAAAACAATTACTTGTATTTCCTGAATCCACACAGCAGGCAGTTAAAAGAAGGCAAAGGGGAGTGTATGAAGGTGTTTGTAACAGCATGATGGAAGCGCGTGTTTTTGAATGTCTCCATCTTCCATTACATCCTTTAGCACTCTATAGTTGAGGGTTAATTATACAGCTAATAAGGGAGTCAGGCAAATAACCACTTATTTCTTTATGAAAATTAAAATGTACAGTGTCCGCCCAATTTAAAGTACAATTATCTACACTTAGCCGTATAAAGGCTTTGAATTGCATCGGCGTGCTCCTGAGCTTTCAAGCAATTTTCACACTCTTTGTGAACATTGTGTCCTTCTGCTCATTGACAGCCGCACAGCGCTAAAGCAATCAAAGAAGCACAAGAGAACTCTAAACACAAACATTTACCCTGTATCATAACGTGTGTGTGTGTGTGTTCACATGCACACAGCATATGCCCTTGAGCAAAACATAACCCCTTGCTATAAAAACAATTACTTGTATTTCCTGAATCCACACAGCAGGCAGTTAAAAGAAGGCAAAGGGGAGTGTATGAAGGTGTTTGTAACAGCATGATGGAAGCGCGTGTTTTTGAATGTCTCCATCTTCCATTACATCCTTTAGCACTCTATAGTTGAGGGTTAATTATACAGGTAATAAGGGAGTCAGGCAAATAACCACTTATTTCTTTATGAAAATTAAAATGTACAGTGTCCGCCCAATTTAAAGTACAATTATCTACACTTAGCCGTATAAAGGCTTTGAATTGCATCGGCGTGCTCCTGAGCTTTCAAGCAATTTTCACACTCTTTAATCAGGACAATATAACACAAGTTAAATGAAGGCACAGTGAATTCTGGAAGAATAAACTGTGCCGTACAGAAACTGTAGGTCTTGAGAAGATTCAACAACCTTAAGCAGCTTTGTCAAAAAGAAGATATTAGCAGGTATGAAGAAATCAGGCTTTTATATGAATATTCTGAGCACCTTTAAAGCAAGCATGGATTAAACTTTCATCTTGCGATACAAGTTACATCGACAGCATTTGTGGCATAATAGCAATTTTTTTTATATCATGTAAAATGCTTAGAATGCCGGTAAACAGGATCATGAGCTTTAAAAGCTTCAAATCAGTATTGTATGCTAAAAACATTTCATTACAATACAGAAATGTCAATTATTTATAATTTTAATATTACTTTCCAGGTTTTTCATGACCATGATCTGTTCTAGAGTTTCTGGTTAGGTATTTCTGACCATTTCTGTGTTTAGACTGTTCTCGAAATAAAATGTCTGTCAATTTCTTGCTTGGTTTACCATCTTTATATTATTATGGCAGGGAGTGAAAATGGGATCACATAGTTTAAACTAGTTTCATGTTAACACAAAGTTTAAAGATATAGTTCACCCAAAATTAAAATTGTGTCATTGTTTATTCACGAAAAACCCTTAAGACTTTTGTTCATCTTTGAAATACAAATGAAGATATTGGTAATTAAGCCTTGAGAACCTGAGAGACTTCGGTCTCTCCATTGCAAGTCAATGTAACCAAAACTTTTAAGCTTCAAAAAGTTCATAAAGACATTGTAAGAGTAATTCTTATTCAAAATATGGTAAACAGCAGCTTAACCATAGGTTCTTGTCGCATGTCAAGCAAGCACATTTGAGCTTCCATTTACCATTTTCAACTCTATGTATGTGCATAGAACCAATATTTATATATAAAAAAAAATAAAAAGCCTACTCATCATATAAAGCGATCATGTCTTTTCAGAAGACTTAATTAAATTGCTAAATTCATATGTTGTAAAAAAAAAGTCTGAATCTCTTCTGAAGGAAAACATCATCCTGTCTTGTGTGTTTTGAAATCGCTGGACTGCTCTGTGCTTTCTCTGGGTTCCGTGCCAATGAGGTCACATTACAAGCCAGTCGTGAAAGCTGTGTGTTTCTCTTGCATCTGCTAATTTAAAAGCTGAGGGGTCTGGGAGGCTTTTAACAGGCTGCTATATTAAAATGAACGGAGGCTGAGGTGCCTTCACGACAATCAGAGCAATTAAAACTGCAGCCCAGCAGCTTCACTCCTGAGAGGTACTCTCTGATGCGATTCACGACACCTACAACAAAGCGAACAAGACCAAACCGAATATGCTGATCTGAGACTTTCTGTAAAATCTTATGATATTTAGCATTCCATCTCGGGGACGCTGAGAAGCAAAGCTTCCTGTTATTTCAACATCTCAAAGGATTTTACTCACTCCTGGGTTTAGTGGTACCTTAATGCAACCATTTTGTTCCTCAACTCGCTAAAGTGCTTTCTGAAAGAGGGAGAGGAAAGATCTTACTTAAACAAGAGTATCTAAGCATGCAAAAACGACTGAATGATTAAAATATGAGACAGGGAGAGGTCAGAAAGAGCAGCTATCGCTTGAGATGGAATTGCAGTCAGTGACAGGGTCAGCCAGTTCCAATACCAACTCGAATTAGATTCAGCAATTTAGCAAGGTCGTCACGGAGTACTCATGCATATCTTGGTTTGTGAGAGACGGTACCTGCAGGAGGAACTTGGCCTCTTCTGTCCTGCCCGTGTCCAAGTAAATCAGGAAGAGGTCTGTTGCGGCTCTGTAGGAGGCAAAGTGATTGCAGAGCCTTTCCGCCATGGCACTCACTGGACGTAGAGAGAGATGTCAATCAATCACATGCTTCGACGGTGATTACTATGTTACAACACATCAGCGGGTGCTGTAATGTTTCTCCAATCCAGAAACTCACAAACAAGGGCTAGAAGTCCGTTCAGAAGTACTCAAAGAACACAGTTCTGTATCAGTGGCTATCAAACTTTTTGACTTCAAAAAGCCCATCCGAAGACTCCTCTGCCATAGAAGTACTATTCCTATGTACTATTGGATTTTAAATATAAACCTTTGTAATCTTTAATCAAAAACATTAATGTGCCACCACTCCCTTGACTTACATGAAACAATTTAGTTTGCAACACTCACGTTCTGCGATCAAATGGATGGACAAAAACAGGTAGTTATACACTTTTACTCTCATTCAATAGCCGTTTTACTCTGATACGTCAGAACAGGTTCCAACTTCCATTTCATGACGACTTTAACAAACTAGGAGTGTTAACATTAAAATAACTAACCAACTGCATTTTAAATAATATTAAAATAAAGAAATAACCGTATGTTCTTCAAAAACAATTGCTGTCGATGGGACAGATTGAAATTAGAAATATGTCAGCTTACTTTAACCTGACTTTTTAAATGACTTATTTTAAGCACTTTCTTAAATATTTTACTATCATCTTGCAGCCCCTTTCTCTGTCAGAAAAAAAAAAAGCAAAAATTTTACCTTTTGGGATACAACAGCCACTGGTGCAATGGGGGCAACTTTGTATTGACCTCTAAAAAAAGTGCACATTACTTTTTTAAAGCAGTAATAAGCTACTCCTATGGGGTAAATAAAGTACAAAAATGTCACTTTGAGACTGCCCCAGGATGTCCCGCTAAAAGCACAATTATTGCAGGGTTTTTTTTGGAGGTGTTGGAAGTTTGCCGAGCATCTCTGGTTGAGAACCACTGATACTGATGAAGAGGTGGTGTGTGGGTCTTACATTTATCTAGTACAGCATCGTTGTTGGCATCTAGAACTTTGCGGAAGACAAAAGAAATACTGGATTTCTGATTCTCTGTGTTCTGGATGTAAAAGGACTCCAACAGCTCCACCGCACTGTCAATGTCCTCACTGCAGAGGGAGAAAAGAGAGGTCATACTTGGTGTTAGTGACTTGAACAAACTCCTTTATAGAGCCAGAAAAACTCCACTAACTTTGTTAGGGATCCAATATAAAAATAAGACATGCCTTCAAAATCAGAGGAAATTCTGTTATGAAAACCAATGCCTTAACCTCAAGTATTCAACTCATACAACACATTTGTGCTATGGACATGAATGATTAATAATTCCCATGGCTGGTGTGACAATTTTCCAAGTGATCAGTATAAGAATTTTCACCTGGTTTACAGAATAAAGCAATGGGTTAAAAAAAAACAACTGCATTTGGTTAGACTTTCACTGAAGGAGGGATCAAAGCCATATTTAGAGACCAAAATATATTATAGTTGGCCCTTTTTTGCATCCGAAAAACATACCTTTGGTTCAAAGAGTATAACTAAAGAAAGGCAGGTGGAAAATAGCAAGCCATGTGAAAATTTCCATTCCATTTCTGCGTCTCTTCCATCCCCGACCTTCATTTACACAACAGTAAGTGCATAAAACTTTCATCAGCCACATTAATATTCCTGACCTAGCCATAGATTGTCATTCCTCGCCATTGCCAAAGTCTTAAGACAGTGTAGGACAGCGGAAGAGCAAAGCGTTCCTCACGGCTGATTGGGCGGCTTCCCGTTTGCACTGCTTCGTCCTGTCGGGGTGAACTCTGACCCCCGGGTGGACCTAAGCGACAGTGACACGTGTGCTGTGTGCGGCTGAGCCAAACTGACTGGTTAAGAGGCGAGGCGGGGCTCCGGAAACTGGGCAACACATTAGTGCGGCCCACTGTGAATTATTCAGACTACATAGTCCTAGCCATCACAGCAGATTTGAGCCTTTAATAATAATGGGTGGAGAGGGATGAAGGGGATGGAGGAAAGGTAAGATGAAAGAACAGAAGATGAAATTGAGGTGTGAGAAAAGGCCACATGAGCGGACGGTCCTTTGTAGGAACAACAAACCTGCGATGACACCAATTTTTAGTCAAGGTCAAACCACAGAGAGGGCACATTTCATGTTATTTACAGAAACAAGGGTGCTTCATTGTTCTTTTCATGAATTTGTTTTCACAAAAATAACCAAGAAAAGTTTGTGCGGGTGGAATCTAATCTCACCCGCCAGACAGTCTGCTAGTGCTCCCTTTGTTAGAAACACTGAGCATGTGGTTCAGAGTTTCTGAGATAATAATACATCTATAATCAAGTCTTTGTCATAGTCAATCACAGTCTTAACCTCTGTGTCATCTGCTTCCCTCCAGCTGCCAGGTATGTGGTGCCAATTTTAGCTGCATTTCATTTAACTGTGCATCCACTTTAAAAACATCTGAATGACTGCTCATCGCGAGTATTGCGAGTAGCTCTAGTAGCTGAGCCAATGAGATCTTTTGAGTCTTGTAGCTACACACTAGATTTTGGTGCATTGCATTGATGCCATAATGTTAGGGTGTTATGGGGGTTGCCAGTGTGTTCTAGGTGGTTGCTTCCACAAGTGTCTATTGATATTCTGGTTATTACAGATGATTTATGTCCCAATGTATGTCGTTCCTATGCCTTTTGACCAATGAGCTGCCATGATTTTTCAGCTGACTTTTTCAATTGTTCATAATTACAGGATTAAAAAATACATTTTTTTAACAAAAAAAAGTTTTTTGAATAGATTTTTGTGACATTATTATTATTTTAAATCAAATGAGATATATAATTCATAATAAATGAATTTATAATAAATTAGCTTACTGTTTTAACTACAAGCGTAACTAGAAAAAAAAAATCCCATTTTTTTCCCCATTTCCATGTTTCAAGATTTCCAAAGAAAATCTGCCTGAAAATCTGAGTTTAAAAACTTTCTGGCTTTTCTATGGCTGCATAATTCACTACTGTTCATAGGTTTGGGGTCAGATTTTTTCTTTTGAAATTAAAGAAATTAACATTTAAAAATACTTAATAATAATAATGCTGTTATTTTTAACTTTCTATTCAACAAAGAATTTCATAGAGAATCATAGTTTGTGCAAAAATATTACACAGCATAACGGTTTTCAACATTGACAATACTCGATATTTCTTTAGCACCAAATCTGCATGAGAATAATTTCTGAAGGATCATGTGACACTGGTGTAATGGCTGCTAAAAATTCAACTTTGCCATCAGATGAATACATTTTTTACAAAATTTTCAAATAGAAAAACGTTATTTTGAAATGTAATATTTCACAGTATTACTGTTTTTAATCAAATAAATGCGGCACGAGAGACTACAAAAAACATTAAAACAATCTTACCAACCCCAAACTTTTGAACAGCAGAGTAAGTCTACTGGATTTGCAGTTTTGTTTAGTAAGGAGTTCATAAGCAATAACAGCAAATCTTGCCTTAACCAAAAAAAAACAAAAAAAAACATACTTTTTAATATGAGCGAGAGCAGTATTGTTGACAAATAACATGCTGGACAGCTTGATGGAGCCTAAAGTCTTCACCAAGGCCTCCGCTTCCTGGATGTCCTGTGAATTTCCTTCACTTGCGAGACCCTGGACCAGTCGAGTGATGGCCAGCTGAGTGGGCACCTGGTCAGCCTGTAACATGCCCTTAAGAGTCCCCATGGCATCTGTGAGAGAGATCATGTGGTCAGGTTTAATAAAACAAAGCCTTGGAAGAAACTATGGCGTTCCCCAGTATTCAGCAGTAACTGGGAGAACAAATCCACTTTTGTACTCGCCTTTCATCTGGCATCTCTTCACCTGAGAGATGATGAGAAGGTTGTTGGCATTGTCACTTAAACTGAATCCAGGAATATGATCAGTGGCACTGAGAAGACAAAAGGAAGATTGAAAAGGTATTGGTTGAACACATCTGTAGTTTGTGTTGTGGGATCAGCTGTATTTATGAATAATACATGATGTTGTGTATGTGTGTTGATGCTGAGCCTTTTTTCACTGCTCATCTTAAAATTGTGTGCATACATGTGTGTGAGACTGAACAGATCCAACAAATCTGGATCCACTCTCCACGTTCGTTTTCCCCTCATTCGTCACTTAAACCTCAATCAAAGTCTTCTTTTTTATTACCCTCACTGGCCAGATTAATCCGGCCGCCCGATTGAGCATCAGCCACCGCTTCTTATCTCAACGGCGACCGGCCAACAGCCGCTCACACGGCAGATTGGCCCAGAGACCAGAGTCAGAGTTACTCTTATCAATCCCAAGAAAATCCTTGTGTCCTTCTCCTTACTCTCGTCTAGTGCTTTAAGTGCTGGACAATCCCATCCCTCGTTCTCTCTTCCATTCCCAATCCCCTTAATCTGTCCTTAAAGCACCCCGCTGGCCGAAACCAACGTCCTGCCAAACATCTGCATGAAGTCCACCACACACACACACACACACATACCTTATATGCATGGTTTTCAATATATTGGCCATCATAAATAACAGTAAAGCATAGTACTGTTGTTTTCTGTACTGCCATTCAGTGCCCCAGTTTAGGAAACCTTTATGTAATGTAATGTTTAATACACTTCATGATGTTAATAACAACAAATGTGATACATTTACTTTCTCTTTGCATATTTATATCAATATGGTACAAGATTATCCTATTTAAATATTTATAGTATAATTAAAGTAGTCTGAATATATTACCTAAAATGTGTAATGTAATGGATTGTTACTAACTACAATTTTTGTCATGTAATTTGAAATCAGTAATGGACTACAATTTTCAAGTAATCTACCCAGCTCTGTACATATATACAGCTTCTAAAAACTTGGTTTAAAGTACCTTTGCAACAACAAAACTATAGTGTGATACAGTGGGAGATCATGTTCCATCCATGAATAGGGTCAGTTAACACCCACCGCAATGGCTATTGCGTGATAGCCTGGTATACAGACATTTCTGAATGCTTCCTGAAAGCATGCACAAGATTATAGTGGCGATGGCTTTCTTTCATAAGGATATATCATCAGACATATAATACGACCTAGTGAAACATCTGAGCTTTATGGATAGATCAAAGATCAGCACAAACACAAAGACCTATTACTAAACGGCAAAGGACTGTCATTTTTGCATCTTGTCAAGCTCTTCTGAGAACTCGGAGATTATCTAGTAACTCTGAAAGGGCTCAAACCATAAGACATGTATGCGTGTGTGTGTTCAGCTAGAAGGAGCTTATCAGCATTCATCCGTTTCAATTCAAGAAGATTTTCTGATGCTGCAAAATCGGCTTCAACAGCCATGACCTTAAAACCTGTAATTTAGCAACCTGCAATACAAATTTAAACATATTAGATGGTGAGACCCCCACAGACAGACTCACATGTTTTTGACAGCCATGGCATCCTCAATGTTGCCTGAGGCTAGGAGGGTTTTGATGAGGGTATCATATGGAGCAGGGCTGAGGACCATGCCCATGCTATCTGCTTCCTTCAGGATGTCATTGGCCTCTGAGAATCAGAAACAACAGGGGTAACGTAATCTACTCAGACCACTACAGATAATAATGCATATGACCATCCTTTAACCATCCTGAAAATTAATCTTGAGACAGTCACACTAACTTTTACTATAAAGCTACTATGAAGCAATTTTAAAGCTATTATATATAACTATATAAATAAACCTGACTTGACTTAATCTAAGCCGACAGCTATAAATATATTATATTAATATATACAATATATACATATACTGTATATAATGTTTTATTTAGATTTTTTTATATTATTATACCATTTAATTTTTATTTTATTTTATGTTTAATTTAATGTATGTATGTGACTATGTAACGTTTTGCTGTCTAGTGGCTGAAAAATAAAACTACAAGTTACAATAGACAAAAGTTACAATTACAAAAGTTGAACAGTGCAAGTACGCCATTTCCTGGGAAATCCGTCCTGACAACTCTATGGCTTACCATAGTGATTTAAGGGAAGTTACATAAAGTTACATAGAGAACTTACCTTGAGCTTTGCCCTTCTTGCAAAGAGACAGGAGTTTAAGTCTGTAGTCATCAACTGTGGCCTCTTTAGGGGGTGAAGCAGCAACCCTTTTACGAGGGGCAGCCTGAACCATGGGGCTAGATTTGATCTCTTGCTCCAAAAACATCTCAGGCTGTCCTTTGACCTCCTCAAACCACACCTACACATAAAACAGCCACATCATTACACCATAATGCTTCCTTAAATTCTGGATATTAATTCAAGTTTAATTAATTCATGGTTTCCACCTGCTACAGAGATTATAAGAAGCAGGACAATAAGGACTAAATGTATCTATAAAGAAAAAGTTCCAAGTACTGAAGGGCGGTGGTTTTCAACTGCCTTTGTTTTAGGATTTGTGTAACAGATTTTATATTGGACATCGAATAGGTTCTTTTACCTCAGGCACCTCGAAAGGCACCTCCTTGTCATTGTTTTTAAGGATATCAGCAAGCAAACGCAGGGTCCTCTCTCTTGGAGCCAAATTTTCCTCTTGCATTTTCATCCAGGTTGCCTCAGCCTTTTGCCAGTCATTGGTCTCCTCTGACAAGAAAAAAAAAACAATGTCAGTGCAAAGTAGTTACGCTCATCCACTGTTTGCAGTCTCAGCTCCAACACATGAGACTTACTGCAGAGGCGTAACAAATAGTGGTACATGTCATCTCTGTCACACTCGAACAGCTTGACAGTCATGTCCACCATGTTCTCAAGGGGCTCCATCTGGGGAAAGAGAGATTCAAACAGTGATACACACTCTATTGATCTATATAGCAAATCACTTTTTCAGACAAAACGGCAGAGAAACACTGACCTGTTGGGCTGCAATGCATTTCTCTGCAAACCACTGCAGACGGGTTGGTCGTGCCCTTAGACCAGGAGTCTGCACATGGGTAAAAAAAAGAAACGTATGAGATCTCAACAAATTAAATTGGTGCAAATCACAAACACTGCACTAATACTATCAGAGGGCCCAGTGGGCATGAACTATCATGAGAAAGGGCATATCAAATGCAAAGTATAAAATTCACTAACTGGTCAAGTTATGCCCAGGTCATCTCAAAACCAAACCAAACACAGAACAAAAGCAAAAAACAAAACACAAAACAAAGAACAGAAAAAAAATTCAAAAATAAAACAATTTTGGGGGTGGTACAGACAGAATATAGATCTATTTGCACAACATGATTATTTCTCATATAAAACACTGAATCATGATGCTCTGGTGCACCTACAGTAAATGAGAATCTTCACACACACACACACAGGTTTGTTTTTGTGAATTGTGGGGACATTCCATAGGCGTAATGGTTTTTATACTGTACAAACTGTATGTGCTCTTGCCCTACACCAACCCTACACCTAAACCTACCCCTTACAGAAAACTGTGCATTTTTACTTTCTCAAAAAATACTCACTCTGTATGATTTATAAGCGTTTTGAAAATGGGGACATGGGGTAATGTCCTCATAAGTCACCTTCTCCTTGTAATACCTATGTCATTATACAAATTTGTGTCCTCATGTGTAACAAAAACGTGCACACACACACACACACACACACACACACACACACAGATTTCTAAATTCACATTGTCTCTCCTTTTTGGAGGATATTGCACCAGCAGCATCCAAGCAGAATTACTCTGCAGTAAATCAGCCTCCAGGCCAAGTTCAAAATCACTCCAGCCTTCCTCAAGCCTAATCTGCTTAGCAAATAAGACCAAAAATGACCGCTACATAGTCCTTTTTTTGTGTTGCTATAAATGTAGGAGCAGCCCCTGGGCCTGATGCATAAAGCCCTGTGGGGCAAATCAGTAAATCCAGGATGATCCGCACCCCCACTCCTCCAATCGTCCTATATAGAAGAGCAAATCAACACACACACACACAAATAAATTTGACCCAAACAAACACACACACACACACACACACACACACACACACACACACACACACACACACACACCACAGCCAATACCCAAAAAGAACATCTAGGTCAGATGATTAAGAGTCTTCAAAGACAAACAGATGACAGATTTTTTTTAACAACACATGGACACATAAATGGAACAATAAATTAATACATTCTTTCTCTATCAGGATTTTAGCCTTATATAGTCACTAAAAATGCTAGAAAATATAAACTAACGCCCTGCTTATGTAATTTTCTGTCATTTCTGTCAAATGATCATTTTCTATCCTGAAGTCAGAAGTTTTTATGAAGAGAGCAGGAAATAAGTCCTGAAAATCTTACAAAAATAAAGCAAAAAAAAAAAAGTGTATTTTTTCTGTGTAGTTTGCAACACTGTTATTACAATTTAGGATATACATCTTTATAAACTACGGAAGTTCTAAGCGGCCATGCAATATATATTTTTTCCTTCTTGTTTTCTCGTTATAACGACTTAATTTTCTCGTGATCTCGACATAACGGGAGTTGTTTTCTCGTTATAACGACTTAATTTTCTCGTGATCTCGAAAATAACGGGAGTTGTTCTCTAAGTTACAAAACTGCGCCAACAGGTGGCACTATTGACCTGAATATAACTGATGGGGTGTTGTAGGCTATACTGTATGTCCACTTTACTGTACGCGTTTGGGATAGAATAGGACCTACCTCGTGATCGCTATAATTTGTACAGTATTGTTCATTAGGCTACTGACATTTAATTCATTCATAAATGTTAAATGCTTGAATCAATATGACTATTTTGTGTATTAAGTTCTTGCTAGATGCATGAGTTTCACCAACGCGTTCTGTGTCATAAAATAACTGCTTATTAAAACCAAGGTTGACGTCACTGTATTCTGTTTGCACCTATATCTTTATTTGTGCTTCTTTGA